CTTTTTTCCGCGAGTTACGGAATTTGTTGACGCAAGTGTATATCGCGCAGAAGGTACATACATTTTCGAAATGGATGGAGAAACTCTGAGTTTAATGCAAATAGATTGTTCATTTTGTAGCCAAGCGAAACGCACGCAGCGTTTTCACATATAATAGAGGTGGGGGTATCGCTTTACGAAACTACTCGCATAATTGTTACGTCCTGCGTACGATTTATTTAGTTAATAAAATGAATAACAGCGGCATGTACGAAAAGATAGCGTGGATTTAACGAGGGAAATTTTATTATATATACATATAAAATTATGTCTGAGTACGTATTGAAAAATTTGACAAATGCAATTATGAAAATTATCAACGGTATATACGGAACAAAGAATGAATTAATTAAAAAATGTATTGCGCAAAGAGAATTTTTAACGGAAGAAACTGTCTAGGGCTACAAATATTAATTATCCGCGGGAAATAATTTCTTGTGTGGCACGTTCACGACGCTGCTGTTACACGTTAAAGCGATAACGTGATAAAAGGAAAACAAGCTGTATTTGCTACACTATTACTTTCATGTAGATTAATCCGCGTATCAACCGACGCGCTTAAGGGCTAACGACAAACCAATCTAAAAACCAAACAAAAGTAGATTTGGAGACCGCGCGTCCTTGTAAGCGGCTTAAAGCGCGAATGTTTCCCCGTTGATAGAGCCCAGGGTTGACTGGCACGCGTAGGTGGACACACGCGGTTCGGGGTGGATGGAAAAAGTACGTGGACGGAAAGCGGAGTGAAGAAAGGACTGGAGCAGGCCACTGGGTTCTATCGACTTTTAATTACTTCGCATCGTCTCTCACAAAGAGCCGTGCGGCGCAGGGCGCATGGGAGCCGAGCGACGGTCTCGTGTGTTTGCCCCCTGCTTCGATCGCTACTTTAAACTTTAAGCCAATATCGTCCACTTCGCGCGCGATCCACTTGTGCCCGACGAGCGAAACAAGGGCAATTTTCACTCGGAACATTATGCAGGTCAACGCGACAAAAACTATCTATACAATGCGGAAAATAGCGGGAGCTGCGCGAGAGGTATTCGCCGGGAATTCGACCGTAGTGCGTTACAAAATACAATACTCAAATGTTGATATAATATCGCGCTGCGCAATTAAATGCTTGGCGTTCGGTAATAATCGATTTGCGTTTCTTGATGCACGTTTATCGCAACGTTACAAGGTATCAGCGCTTTTGAAGAAAATTAGAAAATAGACGCACATTTTTTTGTATCGATCGATACGGTTTTTTTCCCCACTAGATGTAGAAAATTGCGCAAGGACGTATCTTTTATTAAAATTGACGTCAAACGATAATGTTATAATAAGGTTGAAAGCTCGCACAAAAGCGTTCATTAAATTTTTGTTTTAAAGTCTATTACGGCTAAATATATTCGGGGGGATATCACGACAGCATATTAAGTATCTGCTAATTGCGAACCCGGAGGCGAGCAATAATAACGCTGATAAATATATCGCGATGAAAGTATAAATTTAAATATTCGTTGGACGTAAAAATTTTTTTAATGTCCCGCTGGTGAACGCCAATAGTTGCGGCTTACATCCAATTCCCTCGTTGGCACAACGGCACAAACAAATATTACTAAATATCGATCGCGAGGCTCAATGAGAATGTCAAAATGAAAGCACCTCCGCCCATATTGCGCTCCACAATTCGCATTCGGGTGGCGCAACTCACCGCGAATGTCCGAGTACAGCTTCATTTGGCTGCGAAATACTAACCAACGAAGTTTTCCGAGCGCGTAAGCCAACGAAAACACGTATTTCCGCGTATTTGCGCGCGTATAGTAAATCTCGCGCCGAGGTCGTGAACGGCAAATTAATACATTTGTAACGGCGCGCATTGGAGATGCAATTACGATTTTAATTCACTTACACAAAGAAATGCATTCGAACACGCAAATCATTCATACCGATGTATCCTGCGCCAGTCGACCTACGCAAACATATATTAATGAAATTATTCGTCATTTTCATAATGTAACGCGAATGTGACGTGAATCCTCAATTGGTAATGCGTTTAACTTATTAAGTGTACTTTGCATGACTGGCAACGCTCTCGGGCACAGAATTCGCGGAATTCACTCCTCCGCTCCAGATTCGTATTTTACACGGGAAACTTTATCATTGTTATTAGGAAGCTCCGATGGCCAGGATGTGGAATATTTGGTAAATTCCGAAATTCGTATTGCTTATTAAACTATTCTTGACTTGGACGTTGAATTACTCACCGTATAAGCGAAGGAGTTCCGTGGGCGTCGAGCAAAGAGCATTACGGATACGGACTTACCTAAAACAAAACGGAAAGAGAAGCTGCATTACACGTATATATCATGCTGGTTGACGGTAGCGTCTACCGCGAGTCGAATATTGCTACAGGAAAAGAGATTCGTATCGATTACTACCCTCTGGGAATCGCACCCCCGGGGAAACTTTTAACTTTCACCAAGGCGATAGGAATAGAAAACTTCTTCCCGGAAAGGGGTGCGTGTAACGTTATCTGTCTTCCCTTCGCCGTTAGCCACGTCAGATAAAATTGAGGAACGTTTTATCCGAACGGTCACGTAGTATAATAAGAGACACGTGAGGGGACGACACGAAAGATGGATAGATAGGAGGTTTTCGCGTCTTCGCGTCGAAGCAGCGCGCTCGCTTAACGGCTTACGATCTCAACCTGAGAAGTGGAATCCTTCATGGATCAAATGAAGATACGACACGATTATGCCCGGGCCTGTCCTCCCGCGTAGACGATGCCGCGAGATTAATATAGGTACATACACGCCGCTCGGTTTACAATTTGCATGCGGAGGGTGACAATGAAAGCGGCGAGCACGCAAGTGGGTAAGTCGCGACCTCGTTCGCTTCATAAGTCACGCTCGTGGCTGACTTTAGATCCTCCGTCACGCTGAGTTACGTTTTGACCTCCTCCGGCTTTTTCGTCCTCCGACTTTTGCATGTGCACGTACTCTGCGGCGTACTCATTTGCTTTACCACTTTCTTAATCGTTTAAGATTAAAGTAAAAGATAGGGACCTGGTCGTGCCGGAGAAACGTAAGCACTTTTATAACGTTCTTTGTTTTGTGCTCTTTCTAGTTTTAACGAAAAAATTCACTTGTATTCAATTATGCACTAATATAAGACACTCCGCGGAGAAGCGCAGTCGGAATATCTTTCAGGGATGTACTATCTCGGGTACGTGCTTACTCTATTTTTACCCAAAACCGACTCTGATTATGCTAGCAAATTTTACTTATCTCGCCACGTGAAAGATGTATAATTACGCTCTACGTGAAATTTTTATTATTTAGTCAGGCACATAGAAAGTATAAAGTCTAATAAGTTACTATAATTATTAGCGCGTAAAGTAGCCACCGCATGACAGCAACAAGTTGCTCAAGAACTTGTTGATCGAAAACTTGATTAATGCATAAACGATGGTTATCATGACGTGGCGAACGATAGCTTGGTGCAAGATGTTGCCTGACATAGTTTAGCGACGCGATTTGTCGCGGGAGATAAATTCTTGTGAAAGGAATTCGCATCTCACGCGGCATCAGCGTTAATTAAGATACTGTGGCGCTTTGTAGAGCAGCAAAGATATGATGTTATGCGCTACTCTATAACGAGGTCTTTAACTCGAGGCGTCGATGATTGTATAATAAATGCGCTTGCTGCGATCAAAATCTCTAATCATGAAGCGTAATGCAGCGAAGGATTGAAGTTGTTCGTAACGTTTTTATTAATCAACGCGCGTAACATCATTTTTATCTATAAATCGCGGGCTGTAAGCGGGATTGAAAAATGAGGGAGATTTAGAGGGAGAGCAAGAGAGTCGTGTTATTATTCTGCGAGCTCGCGTGCTATAAAACGCTCACATACGAAACCTATTAAGGCACATATAAAGGAAAGTATATGCGACGTAGCGTCCCCTGCCCTGTTTTTCGTCAAATTTAACTAATTTGCAATATATTATATTACATTCCGCAACTGAGAATATAAAGCATATCTTTACACGCAATAATTTATTAATATTAAAAGTTGATATAGGAATAACTGTAAACTCAAAATCACTGAAATTAATAATGCATCTTCACAGTATGAGATGATTGAGTTATTCATAAAAGTAGTCTACTTAATAATTATTATGCAATGTACAAAATGTAATATAAGAAAATAACAAAATTTATTTGTAATTCCGAAACACTAACATTTGAAGAAGGGAAACGCGATACGAAGGATATATTTTTTTTATCTTCAGTAGAGAAATTTTAATTGAGTAAACATGTACGTTTATTGTTGCAATATTTCTGTAATTGTTTGTTGCTGTCTCCAGCTATGACAAAAAGATGTTTAAAAAATTGATTCTTGTTGGCACATTTGTAAGAAATTTATATCACGAGGGCACACGATGAAACAATATCACAATACTATCGAGAAAAAAGCTATGCGATAAACACCAGTAGTAATAATTTTATCAAGATTGAAAATCATTTATTACATCTTGCATTATATCAGCGTCTGCTCGATTGGCATTTTTAATTCGTGAATTTTGAATTAAAAAGCACTCTAGTGCCTCCGCAATTCGCCCCTGCTTTTAAAATTTATTCTCCTTTTATTTTCTGCGCGATCTCTCTTTAGTCCCGAAATTAAAATGTCAAAAAAAAATCGCCATTTAGATCGTGCAAAACGTTTGAAAGCGACGTTGAATTACTTGAGGAATTAAAACGAGAAATAACTTTTCGCGTACAATTAACTCATTGTTCTTATGTCGCATCTTGAATAAAATTTACTTAGCGAGCAGATAATATTAACAAAAGGATCTTGAAAATCTATAGCCTCATATAACCTGCATACTTGCATGCTACTTAAGTGCATGGCCAATCCCGGGAAATTTCGTAGATGCAACAATCTCAAAGCTATTATGAAGCCTAGGTATAGCCTATTACCTTTAGTGCTTCGGTGGTATATACACACATGCACTGTACGGTACCTCGGCATTTTCAGATACGAACAGGAAGTGGCAGTATGGTAAATAGTCCTGAAATTAATAGTATCGTATTTACGTTTGTACGCCGATAGCACTTCCAACCACTATTCTGCTCACAATGAGCTCATTACATTAGTTTAAATACATTGTGTGGAGACTACGATAAATATCTCCGATAGGCGATCAAATTATTGTATAATTATGAAGTAGATGTACCTTGTATTTAAAAAGTACATTAAATGTAAACATCTGCAAACATACTAAAAATACATAAATGAAATGTATAAATTAAATTGAAATTTTAAAAAATATTCATTACACATTTGTAAACATATCTCTTACATATTTTAATGCATTGGAAATTGCGATATTTCCGATGCGTTAATATATTAGAGAGTGTTGTTAATGCAGAAATGGAAAATCGAGGGCTAGAAGATGCGCAAATAATTGTAATACTTTATATATTATCCTGTTAATCGTACGAACAGATGTAGTCGAAATTAGAGGTGAGATAACACAGAGGTGCACCGCATTGTGATTCGGCTCGTACACCGCGCGGCTCGTATATTTCCAGTATCGATTCCACGTATTCCAGTCATTAGCCAGTAATTGTAGTTGTAAGCATGAGCGAAACGCAAGTGGAACAAAACAGCAGCAGGCTGCGGAGGAAACTAAAACGCAGTTTATTGAGGAAACTCTTGAGGGGAAAATACGTCAAAACCAGAAATTAAACGCGTGCTGATTTATCGCTCGATTAGATCGGGGGACGCTTTTTATTTCTCGCTGAATTTATTTCCCGTGATAAATATTAAACCAATAACCTACCTTTCGACTTGATATTATTAATTCTTAAAACAGTGGCAAACTTATCTCGTTGCAATTAAGACAATTAAGACAATCCCCTTCCAGCAAAATTCTGTTCAGAAACTTCAATTCAAAATCTAAGTTTGGAATTTCCCAAAATTTGCATAATAAATTCCATATCTGACAGATTTATGAATGGAATCACAATTCGCATGACTTATTAAATCATAGACGATGCACTGTTTACTGTGTATAATTTATTTTAGAATAATTAGACTACAGAGAATGACAATTCCCAATGCTTTTATTTTATTGTGCAGAATAAAAAATAATATTATTTGCGTATATTCTGCGTTTCTGTCACTGACACATCAATCATTTTAACGATCAAAATGTGTATGTGCGACAGATGAAAAAATCAAAAGTAACTTGTATTCTCTCGTATTTGAATGTGTTGCTGGAAAATTTTCGTTCAAAATTACATTTTATTCGTTGTTCTCTTTGAATTGTCTATGTATTATATAAGTTTTTTATAGATCTATAATATATGTCGACTATAGATCGTTATGTCGATATATTTACAATACTCTTCAATTGATTTTCTAACACGAAGGAGTAGCAATCGTGGAGCAGAAAGTTAAGCGCTGCTCTAACGAGCCGAAGTTCCAAGTTCAAATCCGATTAGAAATTGTCGGTTTTTATTCAAACGTCACCTCTCGGAAGGAACTGGTAGCCTCCCGTGAATCTTATTCCCTCTCTAAAGTTTTTGAGAGTGAAAATAGAACCATGGAGTGAAATATTCGCTCTATTAGAGCAAATATTTACTCTATTAGAGCGAACATTTCACTCCATGGTTCTATTTTCACTCCAAAACTTTAGAGAGCCCACTAGAGACACTGGCAAGCGTGGCATTTTAATATGCCAAATTCATCCAGAAAATACCATGCTGATAGGAAGAGGCTTTAAAGTTCAAGAGTGGACTGACAATGAATTAGGTTATTCTACCATGACTAATTGTAAGAAAGAAAGCCTGAGTGTGGTATTGTCCGTATATAACGATAACGCAAGTGAATAGGCCGTGAAACTGGCTTGGTACTGACAGTATTTTAGTCAATCGAGCAATAACAAAGCAAAGTGCAACTTCTGTGACAAACTTTACGTTATTTACAGTTTCGAATAATTAATTTACTTGTAAATGAATAGTATCAGGAATTGTAGTTATCATAGATTCTATTACACAAATTGCATTTTGCTTTACGACTGTCTGATGTATTATTATTAAAAATCCCAAGTTCTTTTTATTCAATCCATAGTTGACTTATTGCACAATATAAAATCACTTGTGCCCTTGTACATACAATATTCAGTTACGCATGAAACTAGTCAGAAAATATTCAATCAATGATGATAAGTTTATATATCGAAAAAAAATGTTCGAATATTTTTGTAAGCTACATACATCTCTCGCATTTTAAATGAAACAACCAGTATTTTTTAAGCACACTTGTTTTTAACAAAATAAAACATATTTATATACACAGAAAAGTGTAACGTCATATAAGCATAACATTCTGTTTTCTTTTTTATTGTAACCGTGTTTTAGTTCAATTTCTCTGACTTTATTTATTAATTTTATATTTACTTTAGAATTATATATAATATTTTTAGGAATTAGAATTATATATAAACTTATATAGTGGCGATCGTGGCGCAGAGGATTGTGCGCTGGTCTGGTAATCCGAAGACCCGGGTTCAAAACTAAACAAAAACATTGTTGGTTTTTTCGTTCGATCGCCACATAGCGAAGTGGATATAGAGAGAGGTGTTATAAGAGGTTTGGGCACGTTCCTTCAAAAACGCCTTGTAACCCTAAGGGGAATCAATAAGATGTACTAGATTAAATTGTACACTGATCTAATGGATTAAGCACATTGTATATACATATGTGACATACTGGTTAATTGCTACCTTATTATGGTATGCAAGAGAAGACACAGGACGCGAAGGCGTAGAAACAGATGGGCTAAAAAAATGGTCGCAAACTGCTACGTTATATTGAGAACTGTACTTTACCACTTAATTTATGCCAGATTATTGAGGGCCGCGATAGGTCGCTGGCATAAATTAAGTGGTAAAATACAGTTCTCATTATAACATAATAGTTTACGACCATTCTTTTAGCCCATCTGTTTCTACGGCTTCGCGTCTTCTCTTGCATACACGAAGGTTTTCCTTGCGAGAGCCCAGAGTCTTTCTTCGTCGTTGTAAAAATTTTTCCTCTGCAGGCGATAATTTTTCTTCTTCCAGATGATTCTTACACATCTTGCGTTTCCTCTTGAACACACGAAGGATATAAACTTATATAATTTGGAAAAGAGGAGCTGACAGTTTCAGAATTCTTGCATAAATTGAAAGCCAGTAATCTTCATTTTGCTTGGAGAAATGTAAATAGCATAAAAATGTCAGGATATTGGTTCAGAGATTTAAATTTCTCAGACGTCGCATTACTTTCGCCAAGCTTATTCCACTAGCGATATTGTACTATCACTGAACACTGTTATTTACGTTGTTTGAATTCTAGCGACATTTGTCGAAGAAGGAAGGCGAATCGTGAGGAATCCATTGTTGTTCGTTCTCTATTATTCGATACACCGGAATCAATTGAATTGTACCCGACCAGTGGAAACTGGGTTCTCCAAACGCTTTCTAATTTAATTCAAACCAATCGCGCTTCTTTCACTCACACTTCTTACTATATTTTAATCTAGTTCGAGAGTTCGTCCCGTAACAATTGATTTAATTACCATTTTGACTAATGTTTCTCGCAAAAAGATAATTATCGTATTTAGTCAGCGAATTTTTATTTCATGATATTTCGCGCGATTTATTCATCCGAAAGAGTCGAAGCGACAGGAAATGAAAATTATTAATTGCCTATTATTTTAAAATGAAAAGTACAGAATAATGGGCGTTATCGGATCGAATGATTCAATTAACGAAAGTGTATTGATTGTTTGTAATAATCGATTTCTCAAATTATCGATTTGAGATAAACACTGAACAAGATACATTTTACAAGTATTATATATTTGTTTGCAGTACTGACACACTACTGTTTTTTCCCAGAGTAACTGTCCCCTTAGAAAGAGACAAAGCCGCTTACTTTTAGCATTTTCACTACGTTACAAGATATAAAATTGACTCCAAGGTTTATCCCAAAAGAGACGTAAACGTATCCAACATGGTTACTACAATTATAAATAGTTATGATGGCTATTAATATTTATTTATTAAGTTCTTTAATCGAAATGTGATTATTGAACGTGATGCCATCCATGTCTCAAGGTTCGAAGCTTCATTTTTAATATCTCACTTGACGCGTTTTCACGCGATTCAAATAACAATTGCGATACACTATAAGTAATGAGACTGTGTGCACCGAGCCCGAGAAAAATGCGAAAGCCCGGTGTCTTTTCAATTATTTACGTCGATGTGATTCAATTTCACTGCAGAATGAACCGTCACTCTCCGAAATATTACGGTCATGAGCAGCCCCGTGGAGTTAGTTTTAATGAATCTAATTACATCTTCGTGCCTCTTGGCGGAACAGCGCGGAACGGAATGAGTCGCCCGAGGATCTTTCGGTTTTACCCGCGGCTTTATTACGGAAATAAAAACCAAACTTAACGTCGTATTCTGCGGCCTTGTCCGCAGATAAAGTTTATTTCCAACGTTTGTTCGCGAGTTGTATAGTGCGTCGCGAAATTGCGCACGCTTCTTGAACGAAATAGTTAAAAACTATGTTAATTACAATTGTAATAAGATTATTTTGTTGTAATCCTCGATTATATCTCTGTGTAATCCATTAACTTCTGATCCTCCTTATCGTTTATCATAATTAATGCAATGCGGGGAAGATCTCCAACTCGCGCCACTCGCATTTACACAAGCATTCGAGATAATAAAAGGTTGAACGATTTCTCATCGACTGAAATACAACAGCCGCACCGTGACGCATCTCATCGCGGATTACCAGTTCATAAGCCGGAGCGATACGTTCATCCAACTGCATCGATCTGTAGTAATGCGAGCGCTGAATCCATTAGCTAGTAAGATACGTATATGTATCGAAAGTTAAGCGATCGGAAGCGCTTACGGGGGGCAGCGTGCGCATTCAAGATACCGGCATAACTTTACTGCAAGACGCGCTCTACATTAGCGCCGCGGTAATATCCGAGTTAACGAGA